CCCTGAATCGGCGCATCCAGGCCCACACAAATCACTATGAGATGCTCCAGTCCATCCACCCTATCGATGGTGTCGAGGACTATCTCTTCCTGCCGGTGCTTCTGCTGCTCCCCAGCGCTCGGCCTGTCCGCACTGCGAAGCCACTCCGGCAGCGAGCGCAAGGACTCCTCGTGCTTGACTAAACGGAACTTTCGTTGCGGGAGTTCCTCGCGCAACAACGGGCTCAAGGCCTTCTTCAGCATCGTCAGGAACTGACTATCTGGAACGAAGAGCGCAAGCCTCTTGTGCAGGCTCACCCCCGAATAAACGTTGTCGACATGCAGGATGGCATCCATCACACGCCGGGCGTAGTGTTTCATCCGCTCATCTTCGACCTTCGACGCCTGAAAGATGTAGGACTTCACTGGTGGGCCATCGGTGCCCGCGGGCACAGCAGCTTCGGCGTTGACTTGGAACGAGGCAGCCCCCAGGACGATTTGCTTCGTGCTCCGGACCACTTCTGTCAGCTTGACCTCCTCCATCTCTGGAAACGTGGCTGTCACGGCCGAAGACTGGGCATTGTCGGACAGTAGAAGCCTTTTGCTGCAATGCAGATCGTCAATAATGCCGCGGTCGACCCCGTCTTGGTACATGTTGTGGCTCTCGTCAATGACAAGGAGATCGAACTTGTCATTCTTGTCGTGGTTCATGATTACTGGGTCGAACTCGATGTTCCCAGCTTGCAGCACGGGCATACGAAGCCGGAGGAGCTTCTTGTATGGCTTGTAAAGGACAACCAACGTAGAAAGAAGTTCCAAACCCTTCTTCTGAGAGACGATGCGCACAGCCAGCCACTGGACGAAGTTGTAGATCAGCTCGACGTCAACGGCTACATACAGGACGCGAGGAGCTGGCTCATCAGCCCCAGGATTCAGAGCATCGATCACTCGCTCCACAGCCACGAAGGTCTTCCCGGCACCGGCAGGAGCCGACAAGTGCACCATGGCCAAGCCTCTCATGGCACTAAGACGCTCTCTCTGGTGACACGTCAGCTTGTCGAGCGCCCGGAGGCTGGCATCGTACATTTCCATAAAGTGGGATTTGCTGACTTCCACCTCCCAGCGGGGATCTGCGAGGTGCGCGTTGATGCTTCGCTGGAGCTCGCCATCGAGGATTCGATTTCTGAGTTTCTGGAGGGTTCCGATGGACTTGATTTGCACCTTGGCTCTCAGGGCCACGAGGTCTGGGCGAAGCCGATGGGTGCCGATGTCGAGCACGTCGACGTGCGGAAGGCACTCCATGAGGATCCCGCGCAGCTTCACATCACCTCAGCTCGCAAAACTATACCAATTGCTCTCCTCTGGAGGCCTGTGGCTTCACACGCGTGCTGTCTCTGCTCCTGAGGTGCCGACCGACATGATCCAGCATGGCCTTCATGGTCGCAGCAGTGCTGCAAACGCAAAAGGCGTCGAAGGTCTGCCTGGTGAGCTGACATCGCAAAGTCCATCGCAGCACGGTGTCATCGGAACCCTTCTGCTGCTCAGTGTCCACAAGATCCTGCTTCTCGACGGTGCCTCTCCGCCAGGACTTCGTGGCCTCGCACCAAGCGTCGACTAGTTGGCCTTTCGGAAACTGCTCTTCCAGCACGTCGAAGACATCCACCTCTTCGTAACTCCAGCCCATCTCCTTGGCCTTTGTCATCTCCATCTCCTGGGTCGCGCCCAGCTGCCCGGGTGGGAGGGCCACTTTCAAGCGTTGACCGTACTCGAGAGCCTCCTGAACCTTCTCGAGCCACTTGCTCTTCTCTCCACCACCGGGATCTGGCTCCAGCTTGTCATCACCTAAGCCGCTTGAGCGGGCACTGATGAAAACGTGGGCCCGAAGTTTTGTGAAGGGACGAGCTCCTGTACCAAAGCTTCTTGGGTGATAAAGTGGGAAAGGGACGAAAACAGCCGACTGTCTCTGCGATGAACACATGATCTGAGGACATGCTGTCAGGTTCAGGCTGCCTGGCAACTTGGCATGTGGAACAGGAAGCTAGGTGCTACGAGTGGCATGAACACCCCCGTCTCCTTGGAAAGCAACACAGTAGGCCGCAGCAAGAAAGAAAGGAACGAGTTGAGAGACTCAGCAGATGAAAGCTCAGCGATGTTGAGACAACACCGCTCTCAGCAAGAGTTTGGGCTCACAATGCGATTTCAGCTATTTGAGCATTCAGAATTGACCTGGGTCCATCTCAGCGGATCGCAAGTTCGAGATGTTTCTTGGGCCCTTTGCCTCAATCGTAGATCTTTTTGTGGGCTATAGATGTGCTAACCTAGATCTGGCGATGTCTGCGAAACTCCTGGGCCGACGAAAGCTTGGGACAACAATCCGCATGTCCGAGGCCAGGACCATTGTCCTCGTGGGCTTGGAAGATGCAGGCCACGGAATCTTGTGGCGACTCGCAGGTCAACATATCCCAGCAGGCTGCATACTTCGCAGGGAAAGAGATCCAGCAAGTCGTCGCCCCAGGAAGGATGCGCCCCTCGAAGCTGACTTTCGTCGGGAGGCCACGCGCAGGTCGACCCTTCGGCAACAAGTAGATCATCTCCTCGGGGCGCAGTTCCTGCCAGCACAGCTGGTGTGTAGCAGCTTCCTCGAACCTTCAGCCCCTTTGATGTCTGAAGTTAAGTCGAGAAAGCTGAAGATGAACACCATGCCGGTGATGATGTCCATGACGGTCGTCAGTCATGATTTTGGTGATTCTTGCATGATGATGAAGATGATGCTGCTTACCTTGATGATGACGGTGATGATGATGAACGCCCATGTCTCTGATCTAGAACCTAACATCTTGAGTAGCAACACTCTTACCTGCTGCTTCCAAGTATTTCTGCCGAAGCATTCTCCCTACCCGCCTCGTGAGCATTGCTGTCCTGATCTTTGTCCTGCGTACTGAATGCTGCATTTTTCTCTATGGCAGATCACAGGCAGCCAAACAACAAACAGTTTGCGGCTTGATCGGCGTAATTTCCAGCGTGATACGGGCTGCGCCCGGACAGGCAGTGTGTGACATGCCCAAAAACCGCCCGTGCTGCACATTGACACAGCCGTCTTGACAAGGGTTCATGTCAGAATGCGCGGCGCGCGGACAGCGCAAGAACGAACTTTCCGTGTTGGGTTAACACATTACCTTTTTGATTTTGATGCGGTGTCAAGAAGCGAGAACGGACGGAGGAAATGGAGGAGGAGTCTGCCTTCTAGTCAAAGCGAGCTGGCATCATTCAGGAGTGGCTCTTGAACACGAGTCCGGGCGAACTGGCTAGAAAAGGAAACCAACGATTACGAATGCTGAACTCGCACACACATTGGAACTTACCGCTCTGCCTCCTCATGCAGTTTGGCTTCCACTTCTTCGAGGAGTTTCTCTTCCAACTCCGCCTTCTTCGCCTCCTTGAAGATGCCCTGCAGCTCTGTCAACCTCTGGGAAGCATCCGAAATCGCGGACACGCTGTACCATCGCTTGAAGAGTTGGAAACGGGTCTTCCCTTGCTCATTCCACGCCGTCAGGCCGATGGCCTGCTCTCTGGTCTCTGCGAGCTCCGGCAGACACTTCGCCAGTGTCGGCTCGGACGTCAAGTCCACTTCCTGGTCCACAGCCCACCTCACCAGCAAACTCTGTGGNNGTGAGAATGGGCTCCAGGTGTTCTGAAGCTTTTCTGCAGGAGGCGAGCCAGTCCACTCTTTCTCGGAAGGGCAGTTCGCATTGCTCCAGTCGCTCATCTCTAATCCCGGCCAAGGCTGATCCAACCATGGAGCCACGATCAGTCAAGGACGGTGACGGTGGTCCGGGTGATTGTGCCTGCGACTTGCAAAACGCACGAGAATCAAAGCATCTGATGACATCGACCGTGACTGGAAGACAACGAAGAAGCCCTGCCAAGAACATCTTGCAGCTCAGTGTCCAAAGCAAGCGACTTCAGGTGGAAGGACCAGGCAGGGACGTGCAGACCCTCGCTGAAGCCTGTGCCAAGGAACTTCTCGTAGGCATCCTGAACGGTCTCCTGTCACGGTGATGGGATCAAAACTTGTGCCTGAATCCAAAAAGGGCTTTGGACAGTGGAAGCTGACTTGACATGGAATAACACCTGATCTGCTTCGTTCTTCTAAGACTGGGGCTCCTATTTCGGGCATCCTTATCACTCCCCAGCATCCGTCCTTTGCCGGATTGGTACCTGAGCATCGATCGCTCGGTCGCTGGGCGACGGGCGGGCATGAGTCATTGGATATCATCAGAAGCATTGCAAGGAGTCTACAAAAGTAATGCTGAGAGTACTCCACGCCCCCTTTTGTCTGACTCGTATCATCACAAACATGCGAGACTGAGATCAACACGGCCACCCAACAAATGCAGCCAAGCTGCGAATCAACTCCTTTGTCAACTCGTCTATGCTCAGCGGCTGGCCATGCACTTCGAACTTTGACAAGGTTTGCCATTTCTCCTGTTTCAGAATTGTCTTGAGATCCTCGATCTTTTCTCGCTCCTTTGCACAGTGTGGACTGGTACCATCAGTGATCATCAAGAGGTGGAGGGAGACGAAGACCGTCTTCTGTGCATAAGGCTGCAGCAAAAGGTCCAGGGATTGCAAGACTCGGTTCTGCCACTTTCCGAACCAACCTTCGCCATCCGTATCTTCCATAAAATCTCCCTTTCTACCAAAGGCCCTTCCGATCTGGAGCTCGCTGCAAATGGCCTCCACCCGGTTGTACTCCTCTGAAGGGCAGGAGGCGCAAATGCGGATCTCTGCATTCTCTGTCTGCTCGGGTTCGGCCCCATCGCGCCGCCGCTTCATCCGCTCAACGAGCTTGTCAATAAGTTAGGTTGCAAAGTCAAACAGCTTAATCGAGAGGCTCAAGCTTCATCCCGAGACAACGACTGACACATTGATAAATGTACACGGTGCGGCTTTTAGCAAGAAGCTCAGAGATGCCTCTTGACGGCAGCTATCGGGCTATCGAGGCAGGCGCCACACATCGGCAGGTCCAAGTGCGTCAGCTCACGTTTTGTCTTTCTGAATTACTGGATATGGCAGCCGCAACATCACAGAACATGTGCGCACAGGGCGCCGGAAGTGTCAACGGCACCTGTATCGCGGCTGTCCCATATTGGGCAACTTTTCCCAGGCCTGGGTGGAGCTCTCTATCTTGCATAAATCTACGCCTCCAAGCCTTCGAGCTTAAGGTCTGCGGGCCGTACGCAAGCTGCGGCGGTTGAGGCGTTCCGCGGTGTCCAGTGGCTCTGTGCCGCTGCTTCCTTGGCCATTGAAAAGCACGAGCTTGCAACAGTATTGCACAAAGCTCCGTGCGTGGGGATACAATGGATACCCGAAAACACATGTTTGACCAGTACACTGCTGCGTGGGTGAAATTTGGGTCAGTCCATGATTTCTTTTCGATTTGCTGGCAACATACATACATCCACCTGCCTTCTCACATACATCCATCCATGCATCCATACATTCGTACGTACGTACGTACAAACGCACATGCCGTATACAATATATATATATATATCAACATCCATACCGTCCATACCTAGATACCGATTCTCACGAGAATTGCTTTGGCAGCGAGTGGGGACCACTATCCCATAACATGTGATTTTCGAGGGGACTAAGTGAAAAAAACCGAAAGGTGCAAGTGCAAAACCGAAAACCAAAAAAAAAAACACACACACACCCACCCACACA